TGCATATTTGTTTCAAATTACTTCAATCATTTTGTTTTTTCGAACAAAAATGAACAATTTGTTTTTTCGAACAAAAATGAACAATTTGTTTACCTCCATTTAAAGCAAATAAACTGTATAGACAGAGATACTTTGTCTAATGCCTATCTGTAAAGGACAGTTTCATTGAATAGCTTAAAATAAGCTTTCCCGGGAAATACAAATCAAAATGAAAGTGAAACAAATATCGTGGCAATCAGATCTACATGCAAGAAATAACTTAAGTTCATCTGTACTTTAACTATAGGTATATGCAGTTACAGTGAATTTGTTTGGAAGTCAAAATACTACTTTGTTAACATTTTTCTACTTTTATTAGCTCGACTATTCAATATGGTTGGAACAATATATCAAATTATTTGAGAGAACCATTTTATACATTTTAAAATACTGCTTAAACTGACTTTAGAATAACTTAAAATGTCACATTATGAAGAGTTATTCTCTTCCAAAAGTAATGAACATTGACGTTATAACATAAAATAACAATTTATATCATTCATGTTTTTAATTTTTTGTCAATAGGCAAACATTTTTTCACTTAGACTTTTTTCGCATTCAGTTACTGTAGTATACACAGTTTCAGCACTGAATACGAAAAAAGTCTAAGTGAAAAAAATACATGAAAATACGCAAAAATGATATTATTTTATTATCGGTACTACTTTTATCAACAGTTATTATTATAAAACATACTTTAAAACTGAAAATGAAATACTGCTTATATTTTTTGTCACTTAGACCATCACATTTTTTTTTTAAATAATTGCGAAAAAAGTCTAAGTGACAATGTTCACTTAGACCTTTTTCGCATTGACTGTTTTTCACATTTCACTTAGTCTTTTTTCGTATTTTTTAAATATATATAAAAATGAATGTGTTGTGTTCAAGATTTTTTCACAGAAGATGTATATACAGATTTTAAACACATTTATTTAAAAAAGTGATTTTCTGAAAAAATGTCACTTAGACCTTTTTCGCTTTCACCCCTCGACATGTATGTCGGAATATGTCAACTACCTGTATTGTATATTACATTACCATGTACCGTTCTCAGCTTTTGTAGATGGGAATAATTTTTCTTTATGTATACGTCATGAATGAAATATTAGGAAAAAAAGTTACTTTACTTGTTCTTTTTGTTTAAAACAAGAGCGATCAGTAATCACATGTGTCGCCTCATGATGGCCAATTTCATGTTGGGACAAATTTTGTGACAGACAGACAGACGGACAGTGCACAACTAGACTTGGTACTGATCATTCCTGTAAAGTTTGGATAAAATTGCACCAGTAGTTTATGAGGAGTAGTCCGGACAAGCTTTTGCGTATCTGGCAACACACAGAAAAAAAGACCTTTTTATCAAAGGGCCATAACTCAGCCAAAAATCATTCAACCAGAAAACCCGTGCAATATGCGCAAGGACTTGAGCTACAGATCAATCCTGTAAAGTTTCATTGAAATTGCATTTGTGGTATAAGAGAAGTAGTCCGGACAAACTTTAAAAATAAAAATTATTAAAGGGCCATAACTCTGACAAAAATCATTGAACCGGAAAATGCTGACAATATGCACAACTAAACTTGGTACTGATCATTCCTGTAAAGTTTGGATGAAATTGCACCAGTAGTTTATGAGGAGTAGTCCGGACAAGCTTTTGTGTATCTGGCAACGACAGAAAAAAACACCTTTTTGTCAAAGGGCCATAACTCGGCCAAAAATCATTCAACCGGAAAACCCGTGCAATATGCCCAAGGACTTGAGCTACAGATCAATCCTGTAAAGTTTCATTGAAATTGCATTAGTGGTATAAGAGAAGTAGTCCGGACAAACTTTAAAATTAAAAATTATTAAAGGGCCATAACTCTGACAAAAATCACTGAACCGGAAAATGCTGACAATATGCACAACTAGACTTGGTACTGATCATTCCTGTAAAGTTTGGATGAAATTGCACCTGTAGTTTATGAGCAGTAGTCCGGACAAGTTTTGTGACGGACGGACGGACAGACAGACGACGGAGAAGTGATCCCTAAATGTCGCCATTACTCCGTAGAGGCGACACAAAAATGTCATGTTTGTATGATTTTCGCTCACCCTAAGCTTGATTTATTTTAAAAATAAAACTATTATAGTTTGACGGGTGCAATAAACATACCCTTTTGTATTTTTACAATATATTGCGTCTACGTGCGATATTACCATTATTTATTTTTCACACTTTTGACATATTTATACACATGAAGTATTACAATTAATTGTTATCATTGCACGTTGTTGATTTTTGTTTATTAACGTTTTGTTTATTGCGTTCATTGAACGCCGCCTTTCCTTGTTGATCTTGTTTATCATATTTTATATACCTATACATGGTGATCACGATGAACACACATTATAAGTCGTCTGCATGTTTACCGGAAGTAATGTACATGTTACATCAACATATCTTAAAATGATGTCTGTTTGTATTGGTTTATTTTGTAAAAATATCTAAATTAAAACGCATCAATGCGAGAATGATGACACCGCAGAAATAAGATACGCAGAAATTTAAAATCACTTATTTTAACCAAAATCGCAGAATTTAAAGCCCGCAGAAATAAGTACTTATACGGTATTCACTTTAAAACCATGTTTTATTAACTTTAATGATTAATTTTGCTACCTGAGGTTGAAAAAAAAAACTTAAAGGATAATCATAACAATTGTACATAAATAATGTTTAGGTGTGAAACATTAAAAACAAGAAATGAACTAGGTACGAATATTACCCATGTGGTTATACTTGGTTTTTATCGTATATGATCACTTATCAATATGGACGCATCCATTACTGTTTTAACTTTTTTTTACCTTTAAATGAGGAAATGTTCAATGTTATTTTGGGAATTTATCAGTCATGAATTGGGAAATTTGCTGTATATTTTCTATCGGGAATAGTGCCATTTTCCAGTATCAGTTATATAAGGGAAAAAACACTGACCAGATACTGAATACTGATACACACATCGTCACCTTAGTGCAATAACGTATTAAGTGCTTCTTAATTTAATAGCAGTTATTGAGTTCTTGCACTAAGGTGACGACATGTCATAATGCAGGGCTCCAGATAATTTTTTAGGGCAATGAGTATTTACTCATTGATTTTTTTGTGAATGAGTAAAACTTGAAATCTGAAATTTGGCAGGAGTATTTTTACTCCTTAAAAGAGTAAAACATTTTTTATGCTTCCATGTTTATTGCATTATCATACTTGTAATACAAGATATGTCAAAGTCATTTCTTTTGCTTTTTGGACTCCCTTCGTTGGTTTATAATCTTGCATTTCCAAACGGCATATGTTTTATCTGAACCTGAGGCATGTTTCTGTTGCTCATACGTGGCAGCGCTAATTATTTCATTAATTATAACCTTGTCCTTCGCTGAAAATACGAGTCAATCGTTTTAACTTATGACAGCGACATTGTACCGGATGTTTATGAAATTGCGTTAATTCCACCACCTTACTATACATACGATAACATCCGATGATAGTTGAAACTACAGGAAGTTACCGTTAGACATTGCAAAGCATTCATACGAAGTTAATTCCACTACCATACTATACATACGATAACAACCGATGATGGTCGGAACTACAGGAAGTTACCGGTAGACGCTTGCAAAGCGTTCAGACGAAATTAAAAATAAGATAATCACTGAGTTTACTTTCGGTTTCTTTACGCGAAAGAAACGTTGCTCAATGCGTAACCTGAATTTTGTGTGCGTTTTCATACGCTTAAATTTTGTTTTGAATGCGTAAACATGGTATTTCCATGCGTAATTTACGCGTATACGCATCTTATCTGGAGCCCTGTAATGATGTGATATCCTGGTGGGATCCAATAAAATCAATGTCTTAACTTGCAGGGAATACTTTTTATGAATGGCAATGCAGAAGCAGCTAAATGTATGTTTACTCAGATCAAGTAACAAATAAATATTAAATTTTATGATAAACAATTATCACCTATTTATGACATGAATCTAATTTGTAACTGTTTCTTATGAATGGCAATGCAGAAGCAGCTAAATGTGTGTTAATGTGTTACTTGGATCAAGTAACAAATAAACATTAAATTTTATGATAATGTAATAAACAATTTTAGATCACCTATTTATGACATAAATCTAAATTGTAACTGTTAAACATATCACTCTGAAAGTTAAATAAAAATATGAAAGTGAGATTAGCGATTATTAGCTCTGTTAAATTGTTATTTTCTTATTCTATCTCCAAATCAAATGTTATCTATATCTCAAAAAATTAACCAATATATGATATATATATATGCAAAAAATCTCAAACCATATAAAATACATTTTTCAGGTTCAATAAATAAAAAAAAATATTTTATTTAAAGTGGGGCAAAACAACACTAAAATGGGACAAATTATCACTTAATAAGATGAGTTGTTATTAGTGAATCGTTATATTAAACTTGTTATTACTGCCTCAATATTCCACTGTTTTGTCAGACTTCAGACAGACAGCTGGACAGCAATATAGACCAACAATGGCAAATCTAAATGAGGGGATAAAAAACATAAAAATGCTAAACAATATCCTTAAAGAGGAATACATAGCAGATTATGTTAGTGATTAAGGGTGTGACTTTTTTTAAATATCCAGCATTCCATTTTATTTTTATATGAATTCCAAAATCAGCCAAAATATATTATAAAGTACAATGATTATTTATCAAAGTGATAACAGAAGAGATATAAACAATCCCAGAAAAGGTCAAACATACGGAATGATAATAATTTGCTTAAAAACAAAAGTAAAAACGGAACTTCAGAATTTGTCCGAATTTCTTCTTTCTGACTACCACTACACTTATTTAAATTCTTTAAAATTCAATAAGACAAATAACTGATATCAAAAGAAAAGGAATAATGCAAATAAGTTCACGTACCTTTTAACAAATTTGATTCATACGACTCTCTGTGCTCAATTAAATGGTGTTTTTTACAGATTTGTTTCACGTCAAGGCTGAATCGGTGACCATTTAATTTACACGACAGTGACACTCACAAAGTGGTATTCGACTGAACACTACTATATGTTTCTGACATACTACCATGTGCGCTATTTAAGTTTGCACGTGCATATGACAAGGAAAATATATATTGAAGTAATGAATGTTTTCTGTCGGTCCTTTGAAATAAAGTGGTAAAAGTTATTTTAAAGGTAATTTTCAGTATGTCTGTCCCAATACTCTCACACAGTTCACAGAAGTTCTATATTTTTAAGTATCTGCATTTATAATAATTATTAAGTCCCATGGTTTTTAAAACAGGTAGATTTAATTTTCACGCACAAATCTAGAATGTTTAAAACATATTCCATATCTTACATGAAACAATAGTAACAGCATACAAAGCAGTAAAGAGAAAGCATTTTTGTCATTTTTTTTTTCATTTTTCACGTGCTTCATGTGATGGATTAATCAATTCAAAATTAGTAATTTTCATGCTGAATAATCAGTCTATTTTAACTGTGGTGATCCGTATAATTTATTTTTGAATTGTTAGATATACACAATAGTTTATGCCATCTACACTAGATCTAATTCCGAGTATGAACTTTTGTAACGTTTTACGATTTTATACGGAAATGAAAGTTACCTCCCTTTGAAGCTCTTCAAAAAATGGCGGGTGTTGTGTATGACATTGATGCCTGGCAGTCAATTTTGTTGTGTTTTCTCTTTGCTATTCTCTATGTTGGCAGTCTATATGTATGGAGTGAAACTAACTCTAAGAGCAGGTATTGTGAGAGCGTGATTGCTAGTAAATTGATAATTAAAGATGGTTTTCTGCTGACTAATGAACAAGATACATGTTTTCAGAATTTATAGACACATAAAGTAATAATATACCAAAATTCTCTTATTTTTCATTTAAAACAGCTTGCCCTGAAAATATGCAAGAAATCAGAAAAAGTTAATTCATTTAATATGTGTTTCATAAGCGGGCCGAGTTGACTTGTGGCAAGTTGACCTGTGCTGAGTTGACTCTTTACCGGAATTTCAGATAGAGAACTGCTGTTTCTTTTCAGTTTGACGTTTGAATTTTTTAAAGGGGTTCCCATATCGCAATTGAAATTTTCACGGTTCAGAACTGTTCACTAATTAGGGGAGAAGATGTGTAAGCGGCCAGACAGCTCAGTCCGACAGTCGGTAGAGCCGCGGTACGGTATTCAGAGGGTCCCGGGTTCGAGATCCGGTCAGGCTGAACATTTTTCTTACCCTGTGACATTTAGCGCCCACCGAGGGACCATGACTGTATATAGCTCAGAGTTTAATTTACATTGCTCTGTAACTCTGTGAAATTCGAGAATGAATTGCAATATAGCAGAGGAGTATGTCACGGTTCAGAACTGTTCACTTATTAGGGGGAGAAGATTTGTAAGAAGCCGGATAACTCAGTCAGTAGACCCACGGTACGGTATTCCGAGGGTCACGGGTTCGAGTCCCGATCAGCTGCACTTTTTTCTCACCCTGTGACAAAATCAATCATATATATTAGAAACTTCTCATTTGTAAACTCTTATTTCAATAACAGCTATCTTAGAGATAAATTGTAGAGCTTGTAAACTGGGTATCTTGAATAGAAAAAGTGCCTTATTAAAACAGAAGATCGAATTTATCTATAAAAGCTACCAGATTATCACTCTAAATGATTGATGAGTTTTGAGGGACCTTTGGATGCACTACTGCTGTAAAATTAATGGCAGTCTTTGGACCAAAAGTTGTGATCAAGATGCAGAAAACCTGCGTAAGGGAAAACTAAGTTAACACAATAGCCAGGGTGAACATTTTGTAAGAAAATAATATATGTCCTTGGTAAGGCCCCCACGGTTACACATTTAGATTTTCGTTTTTAAGCGTTTACAGTGCAGTATTTTTATGCTCCCCAAAAAATTTCGGGGAAGCATATAGTCGTCGGGTTGTCCGTCAGTCCATCCGGCCGTCCATACGTCCCAAATTCGGTTTACGATCAATAACTATAGAACGCTTAGGCCTAGGAACTTCAAACTTGGTATGGTGATTGGTCATGACCAGCAGATGACCCCTATTGATTTTGGGGTCAAGGGGTCAAAGGTCAAGGTCACATTGACCTTGTAGGTAAAAATGGTTTCCGATCAATAACTAAAGAACGCTTAGGCCTAGGAACTTCAAACTTGGTATGGTGATTGGTCATGACCAGCAGATGTCCCCTATTGATTTTTGGGTAAAGGGGTCAAGGTCACATTGACCTTGTAGGTAAAAAAAGTTTCCGCTCAATAACTAAAGAACGCTTAGGCCTAGGAACTTCAAACTTGGTATGGTGATTGGTCATTGGAGTATATAGTCATCGGGTTGTCTGTCCGTCAGTCCTTCCATCCGTCAGTCTGTCCGTCCGTACGTCCCGAATTCGTGTCCGGCCCATAACTTTGTTATTTGAAGTTGGATTTAAAAACTATTTCACAGAAATGATCACCATATTGAGACAATGTGTCGTGCACAACATTTGGGTTGTTTTTACACTTTGAACTTTGTCTGTGACATAACTCTGACACTACAAGAGGTATACCTTCCTGTGTCCAAAACCTATTCGGGGAGCATCACCCGGTTCAACCGGCTCTTGTTTACCATATTTTTTACTGATTAGGCAAAATGACCAAGTTGCCTAAAACAAAATATCCAGGATATTACCTGTTGTAATGAATTTTATCAATTCTTCTTGATTTATCCTCAGTAAAAGGAGATGAGGCTATCAAAAAAATTCAAGACAAAAAAATGTAGCTAACGGCTTTTTTGAAGGGCGTAAAAACCTCATACTAGCATACAGTTTTTACGGTGGTTAAACACTGACAGTATGGTGCTTTGTTATTGATTGGTTGATTTATTTGTGTATAATTAGAGAATAACATTCATGTTTACTTTAAACACCACCATTGTTAGATAAAATTGTCCACAGAAATAAGCATGTGTCAGACCATGCCAGGCCATAGTGTTGTCATATAAGCAATGCTCTAATTGGCCAATGATAGAGGTGTTTACAACTCTCCATGCAGCATCAATATGCAGTAATCACTTGAGACTATATACTTGTTTAGTAAAGTGAATTTTCCTTTGTGCCGAATCCTTTGCATTGAGTCATGAACATAATTTATTTGTACATGTATTAAAATAATAAAAAGAATAAGGAAAGTGAAACACACGAAACAAAGTGGGTCAGGTTTCTATAATTTTATTTAAGACCTACGTTTCGGCTATTCAATAGCCTTCATCAGGGTACAGATATATCAGAATTTTTCAACTAAGGTACAGTTTTGACGGTTCTTTTTGTCACGTGATCAAATCTATTTATAGAAGTTATTGTTAGGCGGTTCATTTGTCCGTATATAGTTAGTTATATGAATAATTAGAAAATAATAATAATAAATGTTTACAGTTATAGTGGAGGTACATTAGTAGGTTTAGTGTTTAGTGTGGTAGATAAGTTCCCGTAGGTATCTTTTCTGACAGTTACGTCCAGGAAGTGGATCTCTTTTTCGCTGATGTCAGAGGTATATTTTATTGTATTGTGTTGACTGTTTAAGGCCATGATGAAGGAGTTTTCAACTCCTGTCGAGAGTGTGGCCATATCAAAAAGATATCGTCTATGTAGCGCCACCAGACCGATGGTGTAATTGGGTACGTTTTTAGGAATTTTTGTTCAAATTCGTGCATGAATAATATTGCATTTGATTTGGTGAGAACACACCTTTCGAGGTAATCTACGTGATGATGGGTCCGTGTAAGTTGTATATTCAGTTGTTTTAGAACTTTGAATTTTGAGAGGTTTTCTTGTTCTATACGGCCAGGAGTTGAGTCGTTATCGTCCGCTTTCCGTTTTTTGGTGGGGTTGTTAGACTGTCCCGGAAGTGTTGCTATGGTTATAGACGGTGTAGTAATAGCTTTTTCTTAGAGATTTTCATCCGACATAACGTAATGTGTAGGGTTCGAAGCGCTGGTCCCTATCAAAGGGCGATAGTGGTGCTTTGGACGGTGGATCCAAGACTGGATACTTAGAGGTAAGTTGTAAGCTGGACCAACCTCTCACACCGATTTACGTAGAACCGTTTATCGATTCCCACTGAGATCGGATCCCACACGGGATGCTTGTTTCACAACAGTAAACTAATAAAAAGAATAAGGAAAGTGAAACACACGAAACAAAGTGGGTCAGGTTTCTATAATTTTATTTAAGACCTACGTTTCGGCTATTCAATAGCCTTCATCAGGGTACAGATATATCAGAATTTTTCAACTAAGGTACAGTTTTTACGGTTCTTTTTGTCACGTGATCAAATCTATTTATAGAAGTTATTGTTAGGCGTATTAAAATAGAAAGTAAGTAATCATTCGGAAACTCAAATACAGGGTAAAGATATTAGTATAGAACATAGCAGTAACTCTGTTTAAACAGAATCGTTTCAGTTTTTAGCAATCGTGTAAAGGTTTACAAAAAAAATTGTAAATGTGGCATCCTGGGGCATAACATAATGGGATAAGCAAACTTACTGAAGATTAGGCCTAACGCTTGTATTTTCTTTACATCCAATAAGGTGCATGCCTTGCAAACAGTGTAAGATTTTAACAATTCATTTGTATCTTAATAGTTTTAACATGATGTTATGACAAAGTATCAATGTAATTTTGTATAATTAAGGTATCAATATGTCATTTAAATACAATGCTCATCTTTCGCTTGGATAAAACTGCTTATCTGGATGGTAGTTGCTTGTCCAGTTATATCCCAGGGCTACATTTGTAGCAGACTTTCATTTTGTAAGGTTTGCTTTTGCTTTTCAGGGATCATCCTGAGACAATTAGAAAACGTTTCATCAGTGTAACTGTGGTGTCATTTCTAGTGATACCGATTGTTTGGTACTTTGGTTCACCAACAACAACAGATAGAGTAAGTATTAACTGTTAAAATTCTAGCCATATCAAACTTGGTGACATCCATGGCAGAATCATTGAATGGTAAAGATTATTGATGTGGAACCACTTATAACCTATGATATAATACACATCATTGGTGGTTTGAAAACCTACATATTATTTATATGATCCATGGATGGATGCAAACCTAACATCTAAGAGCTGTTTGTCTCCACATTTATTTGTCATCCAGTTAAAACGCTGTATTTCTTAAAAATTCTGTGTTTATTTTCAAAGTAGAACAAAAGTCGATACTATATGAAATTTTGTTCATACCCGCCTTCTATTTTTCATAGTGTTGATTCATAGAACCTGTTGTACAAGTAGTCGTGACCTAATAAAGAGTATATTAATGAAGCCAAATAAAACTTGACACTAAGTATGTTAGTGTTCATCTGTAGCTGTTCTACAGAAATTAGAAACATTCTCTTGTCGCTATCGCTCCCGCAAATGTTTTTAATTTCTTTAGAGCAGCACAGATGAACACTTACACTTCTGTATATGTTCTGGGTGAATTTTCATATTTTCCAGACATAAATTAGTCAAAATTGTCAAGTTTTTCAAATGTGTATTAATTATTGATCAACAGAAAATTATAAATGATATATTCAGGTATCGGAAATTGTTAATAACAAGTAGAATTTAACGGAACTTGGAGCAGAACGAGATGGAAAATGTTGGCTTCACATTGGATTTAGACACTACTCGTCCTGCAGGATGAGTGATTCTGAAAATATTTTTCGCTGCCTGATAGCAATATTGTTTCTATTTTTGACAACAATTTATATTGAAAGGTGTAAGAAAGTCCATGTTTTGTAGTCAAGTAAGTGAAGTTGGTTGCCTATAGAGTTTAATTTCGTATATTTAGGCATACAGTCGAGACTGCCTAAGCGACCCCCTGATTTAAACGACTCCCTGTCTTATCCGACCTTGTTTCAGTCCTCCCAACGTATTTTCCTATATAAATGGTTTGAATTAAACGACTCCCTGTCATATGTGACAAGCGACCCTAATTGTCTGGTCCCAATGCAATGTTTGGTCTGATTTAAACGACTTTCACACCTTTTAATTGTCCGTTAATAAGATAAATAATACCTATATATTATAACACCCAGAGGGCCAAAATAGTTAAGTCCAATTATAATCCAGTAGCAAACAAAGTCTACACATCTCTATCTCTCAATTACACAGTTAACATGACGTATATACATGCAGGTATCAAGTGACGTAGCGTCAGTTCATGGGAAGCATGATGCAATCGATATGTGTGTAATGTACATAAAGTGAACTGGGTTAAGACTTGTGTTAGATTTTTTTTATTATAGAGTGCCCACGGAAGATTTTTTAGGCAGCATTTTTTTAATTTACCTTTCTATGGCTGCATAATTAATACGGAAAAAATATTGATACCAAACCAGAAAAAGCTTTGGATATGGATATGTAACACAATTTTTTCATGGTTTTATTTCATAAATAGGATGCTCAAATTAAGATTTGTCAATATTGTAAGTTCAAATAAGCATGATTTATAAAGATATCACCCAATTTAACATTTCATGTAAATAAAGGCCATTAAAGGGAGGTAATTAGAACTTTATTTTCTATAAATTCTTAGTCAAATTTTCCAATAAGAAATCAATGCATGCATTTTATTGAATAAATATAATGTGCAGAAATATTTGCAGTACACATTTTACATAATCTTTGATGTTGGAAAATTGTTTTATTTGCATAATTATATCCATATATATATATATATATATTTTTTGCAAGTGTCGTATACACACAGTAACAATATCAATCACAAAACATACAGGATCTTTATGTCACAATGGTATATAGACAGATAGATGATATTTAAATTTAATTTTCTTTGAGACTGTATTAAGAGACTCCCTGTCATATGTGACCTTTTTCTGAAGATCCCTTGGAAAGTCACATATGACAGTCTCGACTGTATTTCCTTTCATTTTTTACAGGGTCACACTGTGTTAGAATGGCTGGGTATTAGATTTTCTGGTTTTATCACAGCCCTAGTCATTCCATTGCTCCTGACAATGGTGAGTGTTAAATCTTTTCTTCTGTAGAATATATAATTTTATTATGGCTAAAAGTTTTTTTTTTGTTTTTGAAGGTCATTTTTGCCATGGATTTTGAATACAATATGACACTTTCAATGTAAATTTACAAAATTCCTTCGTCATTATTCTATTTCTACACTCATAACTATATTACATATTTACATGTGTTTTGAACGAAATGTTCCTGTATGTTAATTCCTGCATTATTCAGGCTCTTGTTCAAGTATAGTTGAGTGTCTTACTGACTGTAACAGCTCTTGTTTTTCACCTAATAATCCTGCCGTAAATTAATACAGTTTGACGTTACAGGTTTATAAAATATTGACAAAAGTTTCTTTGATAACAATACACTGACGTTAGTTACACTGAAACAAAAGCTTGCATAGGTGATTTTGATGTGCATTAAATAACAGTATTTGTTTTCACCAGAATAATTTATGATTGTTCATGAATTGTATTTTTGTGATTTATTGTCTGCAAAAGTGCGTTTTGCTCAACTAGATATGTAAATTTAGATTAAGGGTATTTTGTAAGCTTGTTTAATTAATGAAAAGAAAAGACTATTGCCATCACACTTTGTTAAAAATTTTTGCGTGCAACTTGGTATTTCCAAAACTACTGCAGGGAAGGGGATCATCTGGTTGAAACCTTGCACACTTGTTTTCTCTGATTGTCTAACATGATGGGAACATGTCCCATTACTCTTGAGAGTATGTTACTTTTTTACAGAGTTATTCCCCTTTTCTTACTGTAAAGCATTGAGAATACTTGAGCAAGTTGTCTCACGGACAACTCTTGTTTCAAACGTTCCAATTGTGAATCATAATATGTTTATTTGTTTTGACTTTAGATTAGTTTGTTTCTTATTTTGTAGGTATTGTTTGCTGGGCCACTCACGCTTCATTATATGGATGGAGTTTTCAGATTATATTTAGGTAAATGACATCATAATACCATTTGATTGGTTGAATGAGACATTGAGATTATTTATGCCCCCACTGACTCTAGAAGGGGAGTACTAGTATAGAACCAGACCAGCCTGCACATTGGTGCCATCTGACCAGGCTTGACTAAATACAAATTTGATACTGAACCCCTTGAACTTAAAATGAAACATTCCAAATCAAAGCATGGCTACATGTATCTTGTACAAAAAACGGCAGTGAAAAAGTAAAACACAGATGAAAATTTTTAAGCATAATTCATATAACATTACCTCACTTTCACCTCCTCAAAAATTACGTAATTATTAACATGAATGACATCATTTATCTTAAGAAAAGTTTGTAATCACATTATAAATGATATTAGATATTATTATAACTATATAGGATTAAGGATTTATTCATGTAAGAGATATTACAAAAAATAAAGAAAGAAAACATTGTTGAATGTTTCGTCATTTAAGCTTATCAGGTTGTTTTATTTGTGAATTTTAGCACTCTGTTTTTTTCTTGTTTCAAAATAACCTCTGAATTTTAAATACAAGATCAGTAAATGCAATGTTATGAATGCACAATTTTTCATCTAACTTAGTTAATTGTATACTTACATTTTTGGGGGTTAAAAAAAAACCAAACCCACTTTTTATTCACCTAAGTAACCTTTCTCACCTTATACATGACACAATTTATTACAAAGGCTCACACTTCGCTTTTTATTGCTTAAATATAATTACATTTAATATCTTTGAATTAGTTTCTTACATGATATAGATCTATTTAGAAAGGTATTCTTTCTAAGTATAATATGATTTGAGCAATTATAATAAGAATTTTATTTTAACGGAACCTAATCTTCATTGACTTTGGCGCTGTCCCTAGTTATTCAGGGCCAGGAAAATCTGATTTTGACTTACTTGTCTGTATTTTTTAACATGTCCATATTGTATTTATAAAGTAAATTCTGGTAAAGTTTCACTTGTTCAAACTGGCTATGGGACAATCTGGGCAATATGGACAATTGATTTTGCCATCCCTAATTTTATAAAGAGTTTAACATGAATAAAGCTAAATTTGAGCAGTCAAGGTCAGGCTTGCCCTACTTTACACTGGTAATTTACTGTTTTCATTCAAATAATTAATGAATATTCATATTTTTTATTACATTCATTCAAAGAGTTTATGAATATTCATATTTTTCTTAAGAGTTTGTAAATATACATATTTTTGATTTCATTCATTCAAAGAGTTCATGAATATTTCATATTTTGTATTACAGAACCAAGGTACTGGATAAACAGTTTAAATAACAGTATATGGTTGAGGAATCATATTGTTGTAAGTATTTATGTATATTACAATGATTCCTGCTTGTTAGGGACTTCAACTTATATGAAAATAAATTCTTGAAAATCTAAAAAATTACTTCTTTTAGTATATCACTGTTTTAAAGCCAAAACAATTTGATATTGAGATTCCAGTCTAAATTTACTGAACACAATTTATTTTTGGTTTAGACGCAACGTTTTTGAATATTAAAAAATCATGTAACTTTGGAGCACAGTAAAAGTTAGAGTAAAAACATTTTTCTACAAAATATGAAAACTTAATTTGTAAATGAAGTACATTAAAGCAAGCAATTTTGGTTTAAAATTAATTGAAAATAGCTGATAGCTGTATGTACATGTATTTGATTATAAATATTATTTTGCCCGCAGGTAAAAGTCGTAGGTCAGTCAACAAGTTTATTCTATTTAATTTCTGTTATATTGATTTATCAAGACATTAAATAGAATTTTATAATATTATTTTGCAATAATGGTTTAATACATGTTTATCATTTATGTAATTTATGATATTTTTGTCTCAATAGGATTGCAGTATTTCTGATAAATTTGCAACACATTTACTTTGGTAATCAGAAACTTTTAATAAGTCTAGTAAATCTACTTTTATAAAATAATTTCAAACACTAAATTGTTCATCCATTAGTAAGCATTTAATTTGTAAGCATTTACCAAAATATATGAGATGTTATTCTTGACCAGGCTAATATTGTAAATGCTTACTAATAAACATTAACCTATACTTGATAGACAGGGCAGTTGTTTTGAGATGAATTTAAGCTATTTATAAAATATGATGTAATATTATGTAATAGAATTTTATTATTAAGTATTTTTGTATCAAACTTACATAAATTTGAATTCGCTTACATATGATTGTAGTTTTTGACACTATGTACGAAATAATACACTTAAAGGGCACCTTAGGGTATTGTTCAGGACTTTAACCTGAAAAGTCGCCATATCATATTAATTAACTTAAAGGTTGCCTTATTATGACCTGAATAGGATCGATAAGGCAAAAAAAAAGTGCAGTGGTATATTAGAAAACTGAAAAAAAAGAACTAAAAATGAATGTCTTGTTTTATTTTATTCCTATAGGCACCTATATCAGAAGAGTTTATATTTCGAGCATGCATGCTGCCATTTTTAGTTCCACAGTTTGGGGAGGGTTGGTCTGTCTTCATTTGTCCATTGTTTTTTGGTGTCGGTAAGTCAGCTGATATGTATAAATTTTAATATACTTCTAAATTTAAGAATTATTCCTGTTTTAAAGTGTCATTATTCCCATGTAAATATTCAGAGTATAGGTAAAAGTCTAAATAAGTTTATATTTTTCCATATTTGTTTCTAGTTTCATATTCTACTCTTAATGTATTCAATAACTCACTTGTCACACCAAAATGTCTATAGATAGTCTTCAGAATGTATCAGTTACTCTCAGTTGAAAAAAACAACAGTGGCCTGAGTAGGGCAGTTTTTATATTGAAGGCTGTTATTATATTTTATCCCAACAAATTTAATGACCAATTATTGATCAGTCACCATTAAAATTATCATTGTGTTATGAAATGTTTTATATTTCTATGATTAATTTAGCCCATTTGCATCACATGATAGAAAAGATTACCCAGAACAAAGAAGATGTAAAAGATGCCTTTAAATCATCAGGTAATAATGATTATTATAATAATATGATATATAGACATGTATAATTTTGGTTGGTTTTGAAATGAATATAGAGTAAAATCAGTATACACGTCTGCACAGTCTAACCAGTCTCTATACTGTTTCATGCTTAATATTGAAGGTGCATGCCTCCAGATGAGCCAAAATATTCCAAGAAAATTAAACATGGGAAAATGTACTAAGATTTAAAGAAGAGTAAACAGATAAAAGATTCAAATGATAATTTATATCTTATGTGCAATTAATGACTGATTTTTCTAGTATTTATCACCATATTTCTACTGCATTACTAATGCAGTAAAGGCTATTTTTTGCCTATTTTGACCTCTTTTTGGTAATTAACGTGGATTATAAGTGCGGATATGCAATGTGTAAATTACTTTCTTTGTTCACGTCAATATTTTACTTTAGAATACATTTTCAAAATTTTCATGAACATAAGGATGATACTGGAAGCGTGCTGCTTTAACATTCTGATATAAAATTCCCTTACATTTTCAATGGACTGTTTCAGAATAAAAGTTTGACTAGTCTATTATCCAAATTTAACATGTTGAGAAGTACAAAACAAACAGTAAAATCCCTCTGTTATGACCACCAACAGAACTTGATCAAAGTGATCTTAATTGTTGGGTGGTCTTATTAGCGAATATTATCATCTAGACATATATATTTTATGATAAATAGGAGTTTAATGTATATGTTCTTTCTTTGTCTAGCATTTCAGATGGCCTTTACAACTGTGTTTGGTGCCTATTCAGCATTTTTATTTCTACGAACAGGTAACAATCTAACTGGTTTATAAACATATAGAGGGACTATTCTTTTCTATCTAGCTCAAATAATTAGTTGCTTAAGCGCTTATGGAACATTAATTTGATAATCAGTGCAAGATTTTGAATTGAGTGTTACCATTTATTATAAGATTTATAAAACTTACATGTTTATTTAACTTATATATGTTTAGGTATCTTGCCTAATTAATTGCAATGTGAGACACCTGTGGCCAAGTGGTTCATGTCGTTGATTTCAAACCATTTGGCACTCACCGCTGTGTATTTGAATCCTGGATACTGTCATATGAGGTAGCTATCCAGCTAGCTTATGGATTGTTGGTGGTTATACTCAGGTACCAGTCTGTGCCTGGAATAATGCATGGAAGCGCATTGGAGGTCTTCCTCCACCAGTAAAGCTGGGGAAGGGCATTGGAGGAAGACCTCCACCAGTAAAGCTGGAAAGTTGCCACATGACCTTTAGAATATTGTGTTTGTGGGACATAAAACCCAACAAAAAAAGAAAAAAGAATTACAAGGTGTAAAGCACCATTTCTCTTAGTGTTGTTTGAAAGAATTGTTAAAGTAGTTAAAGTTTGATCTATCTCACAGTCCCTGGATTTGTAGTCCAAAATATTGGTACAACTAGACCACTGTTTACTGTGTTTACCATAAAAAATGTGATTGATATTTGCTTTAATTTACAATATCTTCCATTTTCTATTTTCAGGTCATTTCGTAGCGCCTTTTCTAGCACATGCATTTTGTAATCACATGGGTTTTCCCGCGTTTAATGAGGTGTTAGCGTATCAGGACAAGGCTCTCAGACGGAAACTTATTGCAGCATTCGTGTTAGGACTGTTAGCGTGGATTTATCTGCTTTATCCCCTCACATCACCGTTTATTTATTCTAATGAAATTTACGATTTATAATTCTTGTTACATAATTATGTAGGTATAGCGTTTTGTATTAGAAAAATGGAGGGGTAGATTGTCTCGCTGCAGTTGGTTCGTTGGCTGGTTGGTTTGTTAGAGGCCTAGATCTACCAGATCATAGTTGTGTATGATTGTCAGAAAATTTGAAAATATCTGGAACAGCCTTTCTTCATTGTGAAAAAAAATAAAATCAATCCGTAGTGGATTTAATATAATAAATATGATAAGTAAATTAGAAAAAATATTGTAAATTGAAAAAATTTTTTTTTTGCTCCCTAAGTGTTTAGTATATGGCAATAGGTGAGTTTTTTTTTCTCATGTAGGTGGCTTGACTTGCTCAGCTACATTTGCTACCAGGATAGTTTGTTTTGTTAGTTGAAAATTTAATTTCTATAGAATGTCAATTGCGATTCTGTGAAGAAAGTCTTATTTCCCTGTTTTATTTTGGGGTATGTTTGTTAGGATTGCTGTATGTAATATACCTACAAGTAGCAAAATTAAGAAAATCAATCTGTTATTGTCTTGATTTATGTTAAATCATGTTTTTGTTTGAAAACAATTATGCCTGTTTTGTGATATTAGATGTCAGACCATGGATAAAACCATTTTAATGTTACATTTTAACATATGTTGAACTTAGCCCATTTAAACTTAGCCCATTTAATGAACAAATGTAAACATCACAAAATTTCAGGATTTATCAGTAAATTGACCTGAAAATTAGCAAAATATTTACCACTTAATTATATTGATTAAAATAGGAGGATATTGAAATGCTAAAAAACACCAAAAGTAGCACATCTGAATCTGTAGCAGGCTTGATTTGATTGAGGGTGTTTATGAACAAAAGTGTTAAGTGCAACATACCGTCCATGACCCCTAGTACCGACTTAAGCAGAATTTGACATTTCAATGTTTTGAATTAAGAAACATACGCTCATGTGTTCATAAGGTGCTTAAAGACTCCTATCATCTTGAAAAATGTTAAAATATGTTATATTTTAAATGGATCACATTTTGTCAAAATGCATATCATACTTGTTAGTGTTTTGGTTGTCTAGGTCAACTTTTAAAACAAAGTTTCTGGTAAAAAAGGGTGACAATATGTAGTGCTTGATGTGATGAAACCTTAGTAAAAATCATTGTTTTTGAGAGTATCTGTATCTTGTTTCCACTTGTAAGGTAGTATGAATTACTCCCTTGATAGTAATTTATTCATCAGATACATATGTAGGAACATTCATATCAGGGGCATCCTAGGTTAAGGTCATTGACTTCAAAACATTTGCACCTTAGTGCAGTAGGTTCAAATCCCAGCAGCGACTTTTTGATTTTTTCATGTGAGGGAACCTATACATCTATATTACAGAATGCAGTGGTCCTACTAGCAGTCATCCTCAACCAATTAAGTTGCCATATGGCCATGATATTGCTGGTGTAACTTAATACACAACCAAATAAATTATTAAATGTACATATTTTATTTTACTGATATTTATGTTTATTTTTGGACTGAGGTCTATTTACTTGAATAATTTAAGTTGAGTAGAGTTGGGTTGGGGTTTAGTTAAGTTGGTTTGGGGTTGAATTGGGCTGAGTTGAGTTGGGTAGGGTTGAGTTGGGTTGGCTTGGATGTTGGTAAGGTCCATTTAAGCTGGCTGAATAGCTTTTTTCACATGAAAGAATTTTAATGTGAATAGTGAGATTCAAATCTTCCATTTTAAACCTATATGAACTAAACAGAACAAATTTGTAGTTTTAAATTTCAACAAAATATTCTTTTATTGATTTGAAATGTCACTGGAATTGATGATAACTGTCATGAATATCTGAATTATTGAAATTTTTAATATGCTAATGTTTTACTTGAATTTAATATATTGGATTCCTTCATGTGAGAAGCTATCAAGTTAGCTTATGGAATGTTGGTGGTTCTACTCTAGTGCCTATTAGTGCCTGAGAAAATGAGAAAATACACAGAGGGGCACTTTTCTCCACCAGTAAAGCTGGTAAGTTGCCATATATGACCTCTATTGTGTTAGTGGGACATAAAACCCAATCCAAAAAAAAGAACAACTAAACACTTCATTTTATATGCATTTTGAGATCTATTCAAAATGATAATTTGGCTGTTTTTTTTTAAGATGATGATTTTCTGTCACTTTTGGGAATTACATGTATGTTTTTATTATAGTTTTCTTGAAATCAAGAAAAACACAGATTTACATTTTTGTCCATTTGGTTATCATTGAGTATTGACAAAAAAAAAAATTGAAAAAAAAAAAAAAAAACCGACAATTTTCCAAAAAAAAAACCAACAACAATAAAACTGTAAAATCATGTTTTTCTAAAATGAATAATTTGTGTTAGTATGAGGTACATTTTGACATGATGTGGCTCATATTGTCACTGGTATTGTACAAAACTGTACATAATGTATCATATTAGATTATTATTGCCTTGTATATAGTGTGTGTTGTTAATGATGTGTAAACTCTGAATGAAAATTCTTATGTCACAACTGATGTCAGTTTATGGTGTCATAAAAAATCATCAATTATATCATTTTGTGCCCCGTCTTATTATATGTACCTAGATTTTCTCATACAAAATGCACTGGGCCCTTTCTCATACAAAATGCACTGTGCCCAGTATTATTACCTGGATTTTCTTATACAAAATGTACTATTAAATGTAAACTTGTAATTTGTTTTGCCAAATGGAAGGGTTTTTTTCTTTTGTTAAAATTTTTTATGTAATTTTGAAAATAAAATGAAATGATTTTTATCATTGCAATGTAATATTATGTATCAAAGTCTATTACTTGGTATTTTGGCATAAGAAGACAAATTTTTACCTAATTGATAACCAGAGTGAAAAGGTATTTTTGGTCTCTTTAATTTGTATTTATTTTGTTCTAAGCTTTATTTATGCCATATGAATTTAATGAAATCAACTTGTATAGTTTGAAGCTCCCAAAATTCATATTTTAATGGAGAATACAGTTACTGGTTTGTGTGCTCTCTTGTGCTAACTAATGACTACTTAGTTGACGGTAAAGATTTTCTGATGCTTTTTTTGTCCACATATGTGGCTAGAAAAGTCTTTTGATAAATATTATATTTTTTTACATTATTATATAAATTTTATAATTTTCATGACTATAATAACAGTGAGGAGAACAATACAGGAGTATAGTTTATTTCTTGGAACACTCAAGTCAGAAAATAACTTCCTTAAAGGAACTCCACTGAGGTCCAAAAGCCTTGAAACATATAAAAAATAATTTCATACATAGATCAGCTGGTACACTTAAAACAGAAAAATATGGAAAAGATAATTAAGAAATATAATCAGATATACATTGACTTGTATTTTTTGCAGTTCTCAGCCCAATTTGAGGGATTTTTTTCAATTTTTGGTGATATTTCACAATTAAAATATTTGTTTAGGAAAAATTGAGTGAGTGAATGATCTGAAATTTTGCACACAAGTTATTAGTGTCTAGACCTACAACAAATGGAACACTTATCTCGAAAATTTATTTTAGTCCCCGCATGTCAAAAAAACCTCAGTCGAGTCCCTTTAATAATTGTTTGTTTTGATACCAATAGCAATGTACTAAACCCAGTAACAAACAAATTTATTATGACTGTTGTCATATTGTATATAGTGTACATAGTACATAAATAGTAGTTATTTTCTAACCATTTTATCATTGTTTTATTTATTATTGTGAATAACTGATGTTTTATTTGTTTTGTGCTGTTATTTTACATTATGCTATTGTCGTCATAGGGATTTATGTTGCTTTCAATATTGTCCTATACCCAGAATGCACTGCAAATATTTAATGCATCATTTACAGTGTTAACTAGTCGCTTCCTATTGTGTTCATAAATCAATATGTATTACAATATATTTTACATCACAGGGGTTACAGAAAATGATATTTACGCCTCATAATATTCTTTTAAGGAATACAGTCAAACCTGGGGCGTCTGTGGCGGAGTGGTTAAGGTTGTTGACTTCAACCCATTTGCCCCTTTAACCTCTGTGGGTTCGAATCCAGACAGGGACTTTGGTTTCCCTCGTGTGAGGAAGCTATCCAGCTAGCTTATGGAATGGGTGGTTCTACTTCGGTGCCTGTTCATACCTGAAATAATGCACTGAAGGGCACTTCAGGTCTTCCTCCACCAGTAAAGCTGGAATGTCACCATATGACCTATATTGTGTCGGTGCGATGTAAAACCCAATCAAACAAACAGTCAAACCTGACTCTGTGACCATGCAAGTGTAGCTGCATTGTGAATGTCTTTTTGCATTCTAAATGTCCATATATAACCACTGTATATCTTTTGCTTTCATTTACAAATAATATTAGATTAGTTTAAACATATTAATTTCAATATTTCACATATTTTACATTTTATATGTATATGATTATTAAATATTATTGAAAGGGATTAGAAAGAAAGCAATCTTTTATAGTTCCTCTCCCTATCACAAATAATATTTCTAGAATATATTCTGAAAATAAAAAGACCACCTGTTCTAGAGCCCCACTCTTTCACCATCACCTGTATGGTCGCTTTAGGCAGGTTTGACTGTTGTAGAATGGTAGTTGAAATTGGCAAACAATTTATCAACACGAGTTTACCTTATTAAATTAGCTAAGTGGATCATATCAGAAAGTTGCTAGATGTCTGATATCTGAACAGCGTAATTCAATTTTATGTAATTTTATTATGTTATGTTTGAAATATTTATAAGATAATCTGATTGAATGGTATGTTGTTTTCATACTTAAATCTCATAGATACAGTTCTATCTATAGAAATGTGTGTGTATTGATTTAAGAGAGAGGGGAGATTACTTTTGTTTTCTATTCATGTAAAAGAATTGCCTACCCTGTCAAATTTGGGGAACACTAAGTCTAGGTCTAAGGTTCTCTAGGTTTGAGGCTTATAGCCCTGGCTGCTGTATAAATTTTTCTTTTGGAATTTGATTTGAAGACAATTTGTCAACACAGCACATCCTCAACTCTTTATCACAATGATATTAAAGTAGTGAAGTTGTTAGTTTCTTGTGGAGAAATAATAAATATAGAATCTACACAGTCTACATATAAAGTTGGTAAAACTGCCTACCAGTACATGACAGATGTTTTTTACACACACGTTTCTTAAACTTAATCCCGCAAACCACACTTAATCCAGCAAACCACACTTAATCCCACAAACCACACTTAATCCCACAAACCACACTTAATCCCACAAACCACACTTAATCCCACAAACCACATTTAATGTACAATGTATATAGCTGTTTAAAAGTAGCATGAATTAAAGCCAATCTTGTCTGTTTAAAATTTCCATATGGTAAAGCTGCATGCCTTAAGATAAGATAAAATATTTCAAGAAAATCTAAGATTTTAAGAAAAATAAAAAGATTCAAGTACAATTTTACATGTTTTGTGCGATTAATTACTGATTTTGCAGTACTTATTATATTTCTACTCTGTGACTAAACTCAGTAAGGAGAATTTTTTGCTTATTGCTACTTCTATTTGGTATTTACAAGGACTGTTAGTGCCGTTTGCAATGTATAAATTACCTTTTTTGTTCACTTTTTTACTTTCTTTTAAATGCATTTTCAAATTTCATAAAAAAAATTACCATGAATCTGGAGGCATATGCTGCTTTAAGTGTTCATGTGGGCAGTTTAAATAACAGCAAGTCTGGTAAATTTACTTATAATTAGATAATAACCCTTTGTTGTGTTTTTATAGGGTAAAAAGTTGATAAAAATAAGTATATGCTCAGGAAAAATACAGCAACGTTGATTTAAGTAACTGTTTTTAACAGCTTGTGAACTTACTCACTATTGTTAGACTGATATCTGTTTTGTGGCTTTAAGTATGTCTTGGTTCAAATATTCATGTTTTGTTAATGGATAAAATAAACATTATTTCTACATTGTATTTTATGTGATGCTTGCATTGTAAAAAAGTTTTATTTGCTTGTAAAACAACAGTATTGCATGCATTTTATCATCTATTGAATACTGGCAATAAAAGTTGAATTATGTGCCCGAAATCCAGTATGAATGAAGTCGGGGTTTCTTTTTAGGCGGAGGTAAATACACATTTTCTGAGACATTGTCTAAGTTTATTGGACTATACAGAGTTAAGAATCTTTATATATTAGAATATCATCATATGTTCTACTTATATGTATCTTGCATAATGTCATATTACATGTTTTCAACATTATTAAAGGTAATAATTATAGACATATATTCACTGTTTGTTATGTTTCGTATATTTATTTTGGTAATTTCCCCCTGTAGAAGGGTCTGAATAAAAGATATCCTGTCTCAGATATGGATAGTTTTCAGGGTTCGATCCCGGGGTACGTACATAAAGAAGCGTTAACGGTAACACCTGATAGAAGCCTCTATTTTGGCTTTCCACCAATAGATAATAATAATGCTGGTCATTTCAGGGTCAATATGATGTGACCGGATGAGGTATATTGTCCATGTCCATGGAAAAACTCGAATTTTCGTGAAGTAGTTCAAGAAGCTGTGTTCAAACCGTTAACCTGCTGGATTTACCGTCGTTCGAATTTGGAATCGTCCATTGAAAATATGGACATTTTTACTATAGTAAAACACACAACGCAGTAATCCGTAATCTTACTTTAAAAAAAACTCAGTCAATAATATATTGAGAGAAAACGCCAGGATAAGACAATTTGTTTACGCATTGGCTATGACTACAGGCTTTGGCAATATTGAACACCATTTTTGTCGAGAACGCCTGCAGTTGATGTATGTTTCAGTTACCACCACCCGCCCTTTTGTCCGGACCAGAATAAATGTTCACAATAAAGAAGAGAAACTTGTTGGCGTAAAATTCATGTTGCTCAAGGGTCAATGTCACACTTAGATATCAAATGTTAAAAACAGGGCATGTACCCCCACCCTCACTTTGTTAGGACTGTTTTCTCTTATGTTTTGGGATAGAAAATACTTTGAACTAAATCGAAACTAAATATGAGCCGCGTCACGACAAAACCAACATAATGGGTTTGCGACCAGCATGGATCGAGACCAGTCTGCGCATCCGCGCAGTCTGATCAGGATCCATGCTGTTCGCTTACAGACCCTATTACAAGTAAAGAAACTGATAGCGAACAGCAGACTGCGCGGATGCGCAGGCTGGTCTGGATCCATGCTGGTCACAAAGCCATTATGTTGGTTTTGTCGTGGCGCGGCTCACATATGTTCACAATAATCGGATAGCATAATAATGTTGTGCGTAAGAACTATGCATATATGTCACAGGATCGGATCTTTTTAAAACGTTGTTGGTGTAAAACACCTTGCCTGTACCGTTTCTAATATGTCACCATGACTCAGAAGTGCAGATAATCCTTATATAAATTTTAGCGAAGTTACGCCCCATGTTTTACTTTTCTTCTTCTTCTAATGTCAATTTTTTCAAAAATTGTCAAAGTTAATCACTTCAAACTTGGAATACACGTTCAACATTTAAATCAGAATGTATTTTAAAGGGCAAGTAATTTTAGATTTTTTTCTCAGTTACGTCCCCTTTTGAAGGGTACATTTCTCAAAGACATTCAATTTAAACTGGGAGTATATATGTTCATTATTAATTTTGAAATGCATATCTAAGGGACAGATAATCCTGAAAGTCAACTTTCCTTAATCATTTCCCTTCTTAACTAAAAATATTTGACTTTTTCTCAAAAAACTGTTAAAGACATTAAAAACTTGAAATTCAAGGGCAGGTAAATCTGGTATGCATTTTGCAGAATGATGCCCCATTTTTTGTTGCCTTCATTTTATTGTCTAGCACTGAGAAAAATGAAGCGTGCTATCCGCGAGCAAATTTTGTTTTTCATTATTATGCCACCTTTTTATTCACAGAGAATAGTCGAATGCGCTGCCTTACAGCTTTAGTACAAATTATTCTTCTATGAATAATACATTAAACACAGTATTGCAAATCTAATTTCAATGTTTACATTAACTTATCTACGAATCAATTAAAGATAAAAGAAAACTAATAAGCATTGCCATGTAATTTGATAAAACATTTGTCGAGAAATGCTTTGATATAAATAATGAACATGATTTTTCAAGAAACTTCACGGAACTATTATTTTTTGAAATATCATTGTTAATTAATTACTGATAAGAAATATAGAACACGCTATGTCAAAATTTAGAACTTCATAACATAATCTTTTTCGGACGAAGTCCGTCTTAGAACGGTTTGACTTCCTGTAAAATTAAAGGGAAGAACTGGATAGAGATCCAAATTTCATTGGTCATTTTGAAATTACAAACTAAAATCAGGGAATCTCATTGGTCATTTTAAATCTAGTAATAAAAATCTAAAGGATCTTTCTGAAACGTTTACACGCCTCAAAGTTTAGTTAATCTAAAGGAGTTTAGGAAACAACCTTCTCAGTTAAATTTACCGGATATTGAGATCTGCGAATTGTGATAATTGATTTAATCATTAATTGCTATGACAAAACTCCAAAATAATCTATGCAAGTAAGAGTGGTTTTAATTCGTCCAAGTATCTTTTGTAAAGATACTTCTTGTTATTGAATCTGGAACATATAATGATACTCCACGAGAACAGAGACTCTGCAAATCTTGCAATTTGGAAATCATTGAAAACGAATACCATTTTTAGCTAGTATGTTCATTCCATCGTGACTTAAAAATAAATCTTTTAAACAATATCATTGTGGCTGGTCAAAGTAAATTTGAAAAAAATAATATCATAAAAATCTAAATCTATATTCTACGGAATTTAGCAAAATATATTTATTTTGCAATGAAAAACCACATCTTATAATATACTTTCTATGCTTAAACATGGCCTTTTTTTATACATTCCACTTTTCCTTAATAACTAGAACTTTTTTTCTATATGTGTAACATTATATTTAGTATATCTAAACATTTTTTTAGAATTGTTTATGTAATTTGAACTACTCTTCAAGTATAATTACATTTCTTTTGACATGTCTGTCGCTGAACATATTATATTATATTATATTATATTATATTATATTATATTATATTATATTATATTATATTATATTATATTATATTATATTATATTATATTATATTATATTATATTATATTATATCATATTATATTATATTATATTATATTATATTATATTATATCATATCATATCATACCATATCATATATCATATCATATTATATTATATTATATAACATGATATTATGTTGTAATATATTATATTGTGTTATGTTATGTTATGTCGTGTCGTGTCGTATCGTATTGTGTCGTATCGTATCGTATCGTATTCGTATCGTATCGTATCGTATATTCCACCGGGCTTATTATATAGGCCAAACAGCATGCAATTCGAGATATTTTTAATTCGAGCTACCATGACATTAAATTACATTAACAGAAACTTCCATATAGATTTTAACGGCAGATTTCCCGTATACGTCACATTTGGTTTGTCAGCCGAGATGAAAAATTAATGTAAAATGACAAACGGCGAAGAAGCCCTCGAGGAAATACAATACACTATCCGATAGACAAAAAAACCTAATCTTTAATTGAACACGCTTTCTGTTTATAACGATTGTTGGAAATTGAAACGACCCGATAATCAATTTTCACTTTTGTTGACATACATCTATTACGCCCGAATAGAAACGGATAATCTTTTATTTCATAATCCCTATAGTATATAAGAAAAAAGAGAGAAAACTTCATGATTTATTGAATGGATGGTTTATATTGGTGTCTGTTGGAAATCTAATTCCTTATGTACATTTAAACATATTTATGGGACTTTAGAATATATTAAGCCACTCTAGGTTGAAATACAAAGGACAAATATTTACCAAATTTAAAAATGATAATCAGATAAAAGTACGAGTGTTTTAAAAGTGGATGTTCATATTTATGGAACCATAAATCCAATCATCTGCCAATGTAATGATTGCTTTTTTAAAACACATTATCTATCGATATAGTCTGATTCTTCCATTTCATTAATTATCTCAAAGGTATTTGATTGGGAATTGATGTCTGTTTTATTATTAAAAAAAGCTAAGTGGCAGGAGTTAAATAATTTTAGCTCTGGGTGATAGAATATTATCAGAAATGGTTATTAATAAGTGAAAAGTGATTTAAAAAGGATGATCTTTTGTATCTGAATTGGATTTAAACTATGCGTGCTTAATTATTTTTGGATTCGATGAAGGCATTAAAATGTCGGCTAGGTCTACACATAGGCGAAAGGTATAATTGTACATTCTTTCTATCTTAGCTACGTTGTACTTCTATATAAGAATTGTTAATCTTTTATTGCGGACACTGCAGGGGGTCGGGGCGTGCTCCCTACTTTATAATGTCATTTTCCACTGTTTATTTTTTATTACTGCAACGATATTGGTTTTTAAATGTCTTTTTTTGAACACCATCTTGAAACAATGTGATTTATATACGTAGTAATATTTTAATCTTGTCAAATAGGCTTCCAAATTGGCTTTATCAAAAGAGCATAAAACGATTGGAACGATTGTCCACACCCACAAACAAAAAAGGCAATATGAAAGTTTCAATTATCAAAAACACTTAATTTAACAATTCTTTATTCAAGGCACATTACGCCTAGGAAACAAGATCTTTTTCTTCTTTATAAATGACAAACCTGAATTTCATAATGTTTAAATAATTGTTTTAGAGCTGTAACATGCTTATCACCTGCAAAAAGTATCTCTGAATGTGAATTATGTAATTATTTGTCATAAAAGTAGTAAAATGTCAACAAAGTAGTATTTTAACTTCTATATATGTTACTCTTGCAAAAAAGCATTTCTGGGTCATAGTGGGCCTTTAAAATTGAAGATTAACAAACAGAAATATATAAACAACTATTAATGACAATACTTGTATAGTCAATTCAGTTAATTTAGTTTTTAAAACTTATGTCATGGCCAAAATCTTTACACCATAAGATAATTGTTGTAATATACACCTTAAGAGGTATTTCGTACGGAAATTATATAATCTTTTATGTCATAATCTGTATTTAAGTTTGGATTTTAAAATTAGCAAAAATCGTATCAGCACCGTTTAAAACATCCAACATGTTCCGTTATCGTATAGACCCTGCTATTTCAGTATTGGCCCCTAATTTCTTGTAGCAGTCCCAATCGTTTCGTATTGGCTTCCTGTTTTATATATTGGCTCTTTCGAAAGCTTTTGACTTGTTTTGAAAGAACGACAGAAAAGCTGAAATATGATAATATTCAATATTTCATAAATAATGTATGATATATTGTATTGCTAATAAACAAAAGCTGCATGCTTCCAGATGAGCGAAACTATTTTCAAAAAAATTAAACTTAAGAAAAATTGTAGTAAGCGTTTAAGAAAAGTAAAAAAAATTAAAGATTCAAGTTATAATGTACATGTTATGTGTGATTAAGGACTGATTTTGCAGTATTTATTACAATATATGTACTGCGTTACAGACGCAGTAGGAACTATTTTTTCTTATTTTAACCTCTTTTTTTTGGTAACTTACATGGACTGCAGGGTGCTGTTTGCAATGTGTGAATTATTTTCTTTGCTCACTTTACAATATTTTTTTTTAAATACATTTTTAAAATTTTCATGAACATAAGCATGTGAATTTGGGGACATACTGCTTCAAACATTACTTCAAAGTCATCAAAGACTCTCAATATCCTGATAGTTTTATCTTTCTCTCAAACCATTTTTTCCGACGAGTACAATTCCTCCCGCAAGAGGGATAGGAAGTATCCAGATAAATATTCTAAACTGTTAAATAGTTGAAACAGTCAGAGGAGGAAAGGATCGCAGTGCTGCCTGTTTTTTTTCTTTTTGTCGGAGGGTGTGGCCGGTGAGGGGATTAGGGTGTGGAAGGTAGATGTAGCGACTATGTTGCAATTCGCAATAATATTTTATTTTCTAATATAATTTATTATCTAATTTATTCATTTTCTTTACAACGATTCAAATGTATTTTAAATATTTGAAAGTATAAATTTTGAATCGTAACCTATATCGTCGCAAGAGAGCGCCTGTTCTATATAAGTATAAATTATTTCTTATTAATCTTATTTCCTATCTATTGTGGAACATTCGCATTTCTCTCATTACACAGAAAACAATTTATATCAGTAATAAATAAATTATTTTTATAAAATGATAAAATGACACGTGACAGCGTTTTGCATATAAATTAGAGAAGTAATACTAATATAAAGAGAGATTTCAATTGTCATAAAAATTCGGTACACTAGGTAATAAAAATGAATGTTTAAGTCGATCGTTTAATAATTTTCCAATTTCAAGTTTAAAAATAGACTTAATATATATCAATATTAGATAATAAAGTATACAGTATAGGTCAAACGGCGTGTCATAGATGCCAATAACTGGGGACATATTTACACTTTGAGTTCTTTATTTGAAGTAAGTATTACCAATGGGCAGACGCCATGTCCTTATATTTAAGAAATCTTTTCTAATGAATTGTACTGATGTTTAAAGCTGAAAGCCTCCAAATGAACCATACTATTTCAAAAAAAAAAAATCATACTTGAGAAAAAAGTAAAAAGTAAAATAATTCAAGTTAATTGGTATAATATATAATGTACACCATATTTCTACTTTTACTTAAAAAAGGCATATAGCCGAAACGTACAATGTATGCAATAAATAATTTCTGAATGTTCGTGTTTGTGTGGCTTGTCTGTTTACTTTATACTAACACAGAGCTAATTTTGCATATTTTGACCTCATTTTGGTATTTTACATGAATGGTAAGCGTTGTTTGCCATGTGAAAACTATTTTCTTTATTCACTTGACAATAATTTACTTTTTGATCAATTTTCAAAAATTTCGTGACAAATAGCATGAATCTGGAGGGGTGCAGCTTTAATCCTTAGCCTGCAAGTGGAAACTTATTCTACCCATACAAACCAGTGCAGACCAAGTTCAGTCGGCAGATCTGTACCATCTGACCATGGTTTACACTGCCGCTTTTCCGTCTGTACATTTTTTAAAGCTACCCCTTAAACTGATAAATGGTTAGGCCGAGATTGAAAGATGGACAAGTTCATTTAAAATATTGAGCGTGGTAATGGTTAATTGTTAGATTAGATTAACTTCTCAACTGAAAAGTAGCTGGAGTGGTGGCCTAGTGGTGAAGATGTTTACCTCTCAACCAATGGGCGCTACTGGCGCGAGGACCGTGATTTCTCAGATGATACAATTAATAGTAAATTCAAGAGTAATTTCAAATAAACATCAAGCTTTTATTATAATAGAGCTGAAATGAACATCTTTAAACTATGATCTGATTATACATTTATTCATATTAATTTACTGATAATAAAGTACAAGTTTGTGGCAACTTTTTACTTTTGTAGTTTGTTCTAATGTGATATACTATCCATCCGTTTCAAGAGGGGTGGGGTATGGCATGCTAGATTTATATTAGATTTGCTAGTTGGTCACAAAATTTGCAAGTTTGTTATCGTATTTGCTAGTTTCACATCAGATTTGCTACTTCACATCAGATTTGACACCACATATTTGCTATTTTATATCAGATTTGACACCACATATTTGCTATTTTATATCAGATTTGACACCACATATTTGCTATTTTATATCAGATTTTACACCACAGATCGCTACTTTATATCACATTTGACACCGCATATTTGCTACTTTATATCAGATTTGACACCAGATTTGCTACTTTACATCAGTTTTTACACCAGATTTGCTGGTTTGATTTGGCATCATACTTATTATTTTGACTCCAGATTTGCAGTTTTTTGTGATACACGCTAGGTTGGCACCAGACTTACTAGCTTCACACCGGATTGCAAGTTTGACACCAGATTAGCTAGCTTGACGTCGGATTGCAAACTTGACACAATATTTGCTAGCTTGACACCATATTTGCTAACTGTACATTGGATTTGCTGGTTTGACATCGGATTTGCTGGGTTTTGTTCATACGCCACACATGTTTTATCCTTAATGATTTCATTGAAGGTGTTTCTAATGCTAGTGGTGTGTATAATTATTGTTGAATCTCGTAGAAAAGCACTGTAGGACTGAAACAGAATTAAGGAAGACTCGTTATAAAATAGAGCACCAAAAGTTGAACTAACCCTAAACGAACATACAAACACAGTGCAGCATTGAAATGAAATTATGCAATTTATGGTTTATGGCAGTAGATCAAAGGGAACATCAGAATAACAAATAAAGAAACTAAAAACACAGGTTATATATCAAAGACACAATGCTATTAGAATGTTTGTCAGGGGAATTTGGAACATTGTTCCCCCATAATTCATTGAATAATCCAATATTCTAGAATATGACTGTAACATCAAAATTAATTATTAACACAGTGCGTCAAAGCTTTAAAACAATCGATAAGCTCCAATTTATATAATGGTAATAACATGACCCTTTTTTGTAACCTTAAAAATTGTTTATTGTTTCAACTGTATGTATGAGATACCTTGACTTTGCATAAATAATGTAACGTATGATGGTTGATTTGTTCCATGTCATATTTTTTCTTAGCGAAAAACACGAACATACAAAAGAGTGATCATTTTGTTGTACTTCCATTTTTCGGGTGAGGAGTGGGCACGAAAATTCGACAAAGTGATAACTTTTTCGTATACTTGTGTTTGGCTTTCGCTTCGCGGGTGCCAGGCGAAAACGCGAAAATACGACAATGTGACCACTTTGTCGTAATTTCGCTATGCGGGGCGCCAGGCGAAAAGTGGTTACTTTGTCGTATTTTCGTGCTTTCGTATGGCGCACCGCAGATCGAAAATACGACATGGCTCAGCCACCATAGAAACTAGAAGTGTTGAATTTGCGTAAATGTAAAAAAAGATAACTTGGGTATGCATAATTTTATAATGATATTTCTAGGTTATGCTTATGTACAATTGAAAAAAAAGAAGCTTTCCGAAACGTTTTTTTTTCATTTTAAATAGCTAACTTGCGAACACATACGGTACTAAAACACCGAGCTAAATAAATAGAAGTGTTTTCTCGAAGCTAATTTTACTAAGTGGAAAAGTTAAGATCTGGTACACGCTTAAACCATAACCACAAGTGTTTATCAGCCATCTAGGAAATCAACTATCGCTGATAAATATCCGTATTATCGTTAATTCTATAACTCAATACGGACAACTGCAGCCAAATTACATTAAAATACTTGCAACGCGCTATGGTGCACCATGTAATTGAAGGGAGTCACGCACACTCGGAACGTAAAAAAATGTTCATATGTTCACGTTAATCACGTATTTCCTGGACAAGTCTCCTCCATTCATACTTTTAATGTATTTTTACGAAAGACCGATGGGGACATAATAATTTCATGAATTCATGTTATTAAATTTACGAATTCACGATTACAACTAATGACGTTGTAATTCGTGAAGTTGAAATCAATGAAGTTGAAACCGTGAATTCGTGAAGTTGAAATCAGCTGGAATCGTGAAAGTTATAATCGTGAATTCATAACCTTGAAAAAAAGTGAATTTGTGAAACTGAAATCAATGAATTTGAAATCGTGAATTCGTGAAGTTGAAATCGTGAATTTCAGAAGTCGAAATCGTGAATTAATGAAGCTGAAATTGGGAATTCGTGAATAACGTATCTTGCAAAACGTGAATTCACGGAGTTAAAATTGTGAATTCACGAAGATGAAATAGAAAATTCATGAAGCTGAAATGTCCCATAGGTCTTTCGTATATTTATTCAATCAGATTAAGTACTAAAGAAGCTGTGTTATGGAGTCCTAATGGACCACTCTCGAATGTACTGTAACATTAAAGATCCTGTATGTTTAGTGATTGATATTGTTACTGTGTGTATACCACACTTGCAAAAAATTATATATGTATATAATTACGCAAATAAAACAATTTTCAAACATCAAATAATATGTAAAATGTGTACTGCAAATATTTGTGCACATTATATTTAATCAATTAATTATATCCATTCATTTCTTATTGGAAATTTTGACATTTCTTATTGGAAATTTTGACTTAGAATTATAGAAAATAAATTTCTAATTACGTCCCTTTATTTACATGAAATGTTAAATTCGGTAATATCTTTATAAATAATGCTTATTGGAACTTACAATATTGACAAATCTTAATTTGAGCATTATATTTATGGGAAAAAAACAAACATGAAAAAATGTGTTACATGATCTTTAAACGTCTCTGTTATTTATCACCCATGAATTTTGTACGTAAACATAATTAAAAATTCCGGAACGAAATAATTTCTTGCATGCGCCATTCGCTTTTGAAATATAAACTACCATATATCTTCCACAGGCATTAATCCTTAAAATAATCGAAACTTAACTTTTGCAGCAGATTTATAGCTTTATACACTTAAATAATTTATTAATCATTACATGTATATCTATAGATTTATAAAAGTGGCATTGAAAATAATTTGTTTTAAGTCGAGACAGCTTAACGGTCAAGATGATTTAGACCTGCATAAATTTTTCAGTGGAAACTTAATTAAGAAAAAAAATATTTCGAGCGTCACTCACTCCTACTTAATACAGTATATAATTTTGGTGACATTATGGCCAAGATTTTTTTTACTGGCAAAGTATAATTTAAATATTAGTTACTCCTCATAGGTCAATCTTAAAACCGTTTCTGCTTAGAAACAGCCAAAATCAATCAATAAAACTGCAATGCGACCAAAGTCAAAGGAACATTCAATGGTAAACGGACAAAAGCCCTCCAACAAGTGACACAGTGGACAAAAGGCTTCAAAAGGCTTCAATGACATTTACAAGTTGCATGAAATATACATTTAAGACAAAAGCCATCCTATGAAATTTACAGATATAAGAAAAGAATGGATGGGAAGGCTTTTGCCCTTTTTGTAAAATTGATGGAAGGGCTTTTGATTTTACATTGATATTTTGTTATTGTTTTCAGGTTTACCCACATACTAAAGATGTAGCCTTAAATGGGGACATTACTCAAATACTGGCTAGACGCAGTCCTACGCCAAAAGCAAGCCCTCCATCCAAACGCTTTACAAAGGTGAGCATCTTCACAAATTCATAATAAATGGACAATGACCGCTGTAGCAAAGCATTTCTTTTTATTTCTAAAAAAAAAGAAGAAAGAAATTCATATCCCTTCGACATCTTAACTCCCTTTTCCTGTTAGGTTTAGTTTACACGTATCTAAAGCCGCATGCCTCCAGATGAGCCAAAATATTTTAAGAAAATTAAAATTGAGAAGAAAGTACTGATATTTTAAGAAAAGTAAATAGACTCAAGATAAAATAATTTATATAATTTCCACGATATGTGCGATTTATGGTTGATTTTGCAATATTTTTCACCATATTTCTACTGCGTTACTAAACACTAAATTATGTCAAACTTTGCTTTGTCTAAAAACGTATCTTATATGGTACAATATACAAACAATTTCAAGTAGACACTTATATTTTTAAAGTATAAATGAATAGCTTAATAAGTATGTAGAACCTTTCTTCCAGAATTGAAGCCATAAAGAATGCATGTATCTAAAATGTTTGTGTTCAAAGTACCCAGGTATATATGAGCCGTGTCACGACAAAACCAACATGATACGTTTGCGACCAGCATGGATCCAGACCAGCCTGCGCATCCGCGCAGTCTGATCAGGATCCATGCTGTTCGCTTACAAACCCTATAACAAGTAGAGAAACTGATAGCGAACAGCGTGGATCCTGATCAGACTGCGCGGAGGCGCAGGCTGGTCTGGATCCATGCTGGTCGCAAACCCATTATGTTGGTTTTGTCGTGACGCGGCTCATATTATACTCTATGTACACTTAAAATATGACTAGCCAAAACAGGAGATCAACGGAAACGGCTCGATTCAAGAGTGCAAAGGGTTATTTTTAAGTAACACCATAACTGTATTAACTAAATAGTCATTTTTCAGTCTAAGATACTCTTTTCGCTCGGTTATCCAAAATATGAATTCGCACGTATTGCGAAACAACTTCTCTTATAGGTAAACTCTCGAATTGTCTAAAAGACGTATGTAACTGTAATCATCATTTTTATTCATGCTTATCATAATCATTGTATGCTGCCACGCTGAGATTTCATTTTGATATACTAGTATTAAGCAAGCTTATGGTGTATGGCACCATAGAAATTCAATCAATAAATAATAGAATGCGTGCATCAATAAGCATTCCTTTTCAATCAGCAGCGATGGTTTTTGAAATTTCGTAGGCAGAATACTCTTGGGAGAGATATGACAGTTTATTTGCGCATGCGTCGACTTTCAATATACTATTATCAAACATTAATTAATGGATCAGCAGACATGACGCAATTAAAACATATGCTGTAAACAGACACGTGCTATTGGGACGTACGTCCTCAATTTGGCTTCTTCGGCGTTCTTTGTATATACATGTCGTTGAACATTACAAGGTTCTCTCAGTAAAATTTAAGTACGTGATGTAGCCAAACCTTTTAATTAATTTGTTTTGATCACGCGTTCACTTAGAATGAACCATACACAGATGTAAGCACTATTTGACTATTTTGAACCCTTCCCCCACAAAACAACAACAACAAAACAACATGAACGTGCCTAGAAAATGGCAAGATGACTTCAATAAAAATGATTTAAATAATTATATCATGCATATAGCTTTCAGCTGATGATGACCTTTTAGTTAGTTTATACATACTCGTATTAAAGCTTTAGTGAATATGATCCACACAGAAATGTAAATGATAAATTTAGTAAACGATTTAGTATAAAACTTAATATGATTAAGTAACCATTTTAATATGATTAATTATGGTTACTATGTACAAACGATTAATTGTTTACAAAATACATTTCTTTACAGCCATCCTGCAATCAGTCCCCCGAGAAAACATTCTCTAGAGAACGTGGCTGTCTTCCATCAAGTAACAACAACATCAACAGCAACATCAATCACGTGATGCCTGTTGTAGAAGGGAGAGAGAAAAATCAAAGAAATCACACACCAAACGGCATCCGTGACTTCCAAGAAATGCCCATCGAGGAATGTCGACAGATATATAAAGACGAAATTAACACGCTTTGGCGGGAAGTAGAGGATTTCAGACTGACTTGCCAGAAGGAGGTTGGTACATTGTAATGCAATTCAGGGAATATCATATCTCCGACCTTATCAAAGTGATAAGAACAACACTTGCTGTAACCTCAAGGCTATGTCTGGCTTTTTTACCAAAAGTGGCTCTCTTTTTTATGGTATTTTGATAGTTACGTAGTGTTGTGTGTAAGTTACCCACACGAATTGTTGTGCATACGAGTAGAGTGTTTGAATGTTGCAATTACATTTGTATGATACATGTTTCATATTTGGCATGTATTGTTTAAATTGGATTGGTCTACATGGGGCACAGCTTCCATAAGTATTTTAAACATAGATAAAAACAATGGAAATGTATCATTTGGATATTCTCATAAATTATTACTTGTAAACTATCGTTGATCAAGTTCTACAGATTTAGTACAAACATTCGAATATGATGAATAATAATATTTTGTTCAAGAACAACTTATTATCTGCTGTATGAATATATACAATACCGGATCATGTATCTCACACTTGCCGACAACGTTGATATATATTAAGGTCGTTGTTTGTTGTTATATACATGTATGATACTAAATAATAATAATTGTAGTACAGGCCTTCCATTATAGACCAATTCACTTTAGATATTGATAATTTACATAAAATTTGTCGGGCACGTTTACATTTTCGGTGGACATATTTTTGTAATCTGTACTCAACTTGCCTGTCTTAGATATTTTCAAGATTCGTTTTGCTCTTGTATTTAAGAAACGTGTGGCATTGAATGTGTTCCTTGCTTTTTCGATCACTATCTTTCTCTGTTTTGAAACGTTTGGGTAGTAAATATTTTCGGTCAACATTTCTGAACCCCTTTTAGATATATCTGTAGCTCACAATACCTCTTTCATGTATCTTGTATTTTCACATTCACAGTATTTTATCTTCTAACAGTCATCAGTCTTGTTAAAACGACACTAAGGTCATCGATGTTCTTTGCTGAAACCGATTGCCCATACACCATAGCCCATTCATTGAGTTTATTGGTTTCCCTATTTCTTGCAAAATATTTATAAACCTGTAAGTCAGCAAATATCGATCTTTGAATTATTTTGATCACAACCGTTTTTGTATTTTCTGATCGCAAGATCAGTAAATACATAGCTAACATCCACGGTCTAACACAAAATTTCCTAACAGACCTAACAACGCAAAGTAGTTCTTACTTAAAACTGCTTAAAAACCAGCAATTTAAAAGACAGAATAATTTTTAATGTAGGCATTTAACGAATTACAGTGCATTGAAAGTTCAGATTAGTCAATAGAAATATGAGGTTACAATCACAAATTTCGCGGATGAATATCATTTTAATCAATGAAAATGCTATTTTTAGCTATGTCGATTACTGAATACTCCAGGGCGTAGTATACAAATAAATCTGACTGCCGAGTAGTGGAATATATACATGTCGGACTGTTTTGGCGAGAAGATTTTCGCTAAATTATTTTTATCAGTGTTAAACAGGTTTATCGTGAACAAAATACCTCGAAATTGATAAGGATTACAAACACGAAATGGAAATTCTCAGTTTAGAATTACAATGTACAATGTACAATCAGGCTACATATTACGTATTACTTCACCGTGGTGCAGGGGTATCGCGCTCGTTTAGGGTGTGAGAGGCCTAATTTAAGGTTCAAATCCTAGTCGAGGCAACTTTTTTTTTTGAAGTGTCTTTTTTAAGGAAGTAGCCACGATATGCAAGGATAAAGTGCGGCTGTCATAAAAAATGATTTTTGATGCAACTCTAGTCATGCAAAATTCCATATGTATCAATCTCAAACTGTTATAGAAAAAAAATCTTAACGCAGTCGCTGCGAAAGATGAATTATAGTATATAAAAATAAACCTATATAGGAAAATACATACAGATAGTCAGTATGATTTAGATTGCAAAGATCAGAAAATACCACAGAGCTTGCAGCCCTTTGATTTAAACTGGACTCATATCTCATGTAAATTTGGTTCTCGAATGTTTGTCACACAAAGTAATGTACTTTATCTCACCAAATCTGCAATTTGAGTCTTTAGAATTCTATGTTAAATGTAAAAGACTTTAATAACATAAAATAACGATTGTGTTGTTCCACTCAAAGTTGCCACATTTGAGGATACATGTATAAACAGTGTGCATGTAAAGTTTTACCACACAAAACCACATACTCATGTACATGTTCAGGTTAAATATTGGTGGTTGATTTGTGACATGTCGTATTGTCGCACCGCGGGGCGCCAAAATAAACATGAAAATACGACAAAGTGAAATGTTGACTTTGCCGTAAATTCGTTTGCGAAAACACGACATGGCACAAATCAGCTACCATAATAATAGTATAGACTGAAATATCTTTTGAATAATTTACGTTGGTACAATATCTCATTATTTTTTCATAGATGATGCGACAACGGACTTTGCTGGACGACCATCGAAAGAAGTGTGAGGAGGCCATAAAGCATGAAACGGTTGTGACAAGGTAATTATTGTTGCGTTGTTTTAAAATGTATTTTTTACAATATGAGGTTATTAAGTACTAAACATTGTTGAGTACAATACTGATTTCTATTGGACGAGTACACAGCTGCCAAACCTATAGCCGAGTCAGATAAAGGCCAATGTATCAATGTATAATGATCTCTTTATTCCACACAACATAATTTAATTTAATAAAAAGAATCATAAGACATAACCTTATACCCTTTAGAAGCAAATATATGTCATGCGATTTGATCAGCTGACATACTCTATATATATCAGTATGGTCAAAACAAAATAAAACTGTAATAATATATATCAAATCATTATATTAATTAAAAACAAGATCTAAATTAATTCATGAAATGGTATGTTACTCGTAAGTTCTACTTTTTCTAAGAGCATACCGGTGTTACCTCCCTTTGGTTCTGGAATGAGAAGCTTCACAAACGCTCGTTTGCTTTTCCTAAGGTTTACTAGACACCAATGTATGCTTTTACTCTCTTGTTATTTGATCTTTATAGCATTTTAGGGGAAACTAACTTTATTTTCACTATTGTTTTGAACAGATCTAATTATATACATTAAGAGATAAATTTGTTTGGTTTGGTTTTACGGCGCACCAACACAACTAGAGCCAATGTAAAGAATAAGCTCAAATACCAATAAGTTATCCACCGTTTATCAGTTTAAATATTTCATACATCTTGAATAATAAATCCATCTATAAATGAGCGAGAAAACGTGACTGTTTAAGAAGGCGTCATGTCATGTCTTTCACATCTTTTGACATACATTGGTTTAGGTTATTGAATTAAATAACAATGTTGTCTGTAACGCGGCAATCTAAATAAGTTACTGGTTATTAATCCTTTTCAGTATATTCTACGGGGGCGTGTTAAATGTATGGCAATGCAACATTGAAATATCGTCAAATAAGAGTTATTTTCTTTTGCTGCTTTTGCATATAAGATTTGTATATGTTGCTACAAACGTACATTCTTAAAGAGTTATGATTCATGAAATGTGCAATTATACAAATCAAACATGTAACATTTAAATGTTGGAATTGTAACTCACTGAAAATAAACATAACATTTGATTTGTGTGAGAATAAGAAAGAAACACACGTTAATTTTTAACTTGTACCCCTTCTAATTAGAGATAAATATATATAGAAATTGCCCTTTGTGCGTACGTTTCGTTGTCCCGCTGTCCTGCTTTCACGGTCTCACGCTGTACTTCTTTCACGGTGTCACGCTGTCCTGCTTTCACGGTGTCACACTGTCCTGCTTTCACGGTGTCACGCTGTACTTCTTTCAGGGTGTCACGCTGTCCTGCTTTCACGATGTCACGCTGTCCTGCTTTCATGGTGTCACGCTGTACTTCTTTCAGGGTGTCACGCTGTCCTGCTTTCACGGTGTCACGCTGTCCTGCTTTCACGGTGTCACGCTGTCCTGCTTTCACGGTGTCACGCTGTACTGCTTTCACGGTGTCACGCTGTACTTCTTTCAGGGTGTCACGCTGTCCTGCTTTCACGATGTCACGCTGTACTTCTTTCATGGTGTCACGCTGTACTTCTTTCACGGTGTCACGCTGTCCTGCTTTCACGGTGTCACACTGTCCTGCTTTCATGGTGTCACGCTGTACTTCTTTCAGGGTGTCACGCTGTCCTGCTTTCACGGTGTCACACTGTCCTGCTTTCACGGTCTCACGCTGTACTTCTTTCACGGTCTCACGCTGTCCTGCTTTCACGGTGTCACACTGTCCTGCTTTCACGGTCTCACGCTGTACTTCTTTCACGGTCTCACGCTGTCCTGCTTTCACGGTGTCACACTGTCCTGCTTTCACGGTGTCACGCTGTACTTCTTTCACGGTCTCACGCTGTACTGCTTTCAAGGTGTCACACTGTCCTGCTTTCACGGTGTCACGCTGTACTTCTTTCATGGTGTCACGCTGTACTTCTTTCACGGTGTCACGCTGTCCTGCTTTCACGGTGTCACACTGTCCTGCTTTCACGGTCTCACGCTGTACTTCTTTCACGGTCTCACGCTGTCCTACTTTCACGGTGTCACACTGTCCTGCTTTCACGGTGTCACGCTGTACTTCTTTCACGGTGTCACGCTGTCCTTCTTTCACGGTGTCACGCTGTCCTGCTTTCACGGTGTCACGCTGTACTTCTTTCACGGTCTCACGCTGTACTTCTTCCACGGTGTCACGCTGTACTGCTTTCACGGTGTCACACTGTCCTGCTTTCACGGTATCACGCTGTACTTCTTCCACGGTGTCACGCTGTACTGCTTTCAGGGTGTCACGCTGTCCTGCTTTTCACGGTCTCACGCTGTCCTGCTTTCACGGTGTCACACTGTCCTGCTTTCACGGTGTCACGCTGTACTTCTTTCACGGTGTCACGCTGTCCTGCTTTCACGGTGTCACACTGTCCTGTTTTCACGGTGTCACGCTGTACTTCTTTCACGGTGTCACGCTGTACTGCTTTCACGCTGTCCTGCTTTCACGGTGTCACGCTGTCCTGCTTTCACGCAATCACGATATCACGCCGTCCTGCTTTCATACTATCACGTCGTCCTGCTTTCATACTGTCACGTCGTCCTACTTTCAGGCTGTCACGCCGTCCAGCTTTCATGCTGTCAGCTCCTAGACTGACAAAACAGTGGAACAAAGAAGCAACCGTGTCTTACGGATACATTTCTAGTTTTTATATATATTGAATGTCATCGAAGAAGTTCTTAATCTAGGCGATATTGTTATAAATAATACTTTTCTTTTAAAAACTTGCAACTTTTTTTTTTCTGCAACACCAACACAACTTAGGTCTTATGACTCCAAACAGGAAAGATGATTTGAAAGCAACACCAGGGGTCAAAACCCCCTCACCTGATGGAGTTAAGAGATGCATAGACTCCAGTTATTGGAACCAATTTTAGTTGCCACGTACGATCGCATATGTATAATCGGTGCCTTACACGTTAAAGGCAACCCCTCAGTCACAAGAAATACTTGCTTCAATAGCGTGTTAATTTAATAACGCATATTATATGTTATTTTGGTTTTGGAGTGATATATGTGGATATATTACCTGTTAAGATTTTATATCACCCGAGCCGTTAGGCGAGAGTGATATTTTATCTTGACAGGTAATATATCCACATATATCACTCCAAAATCAAAATAATAATTTAATTACCCTTCCCCTGCCGAGTTTAGACGATTTTTTAAAAAAATCATTGCTGTTTCAAATGAAACGTCGAAATAAGATTCCCTTTAGGATACCTCTTCGTCACAACATGACGTCACATAAATACATGACGTATTTTTCCCGTACCTTACGAAAGTAAACAAGAGAAAAGGAGTAGTCTATTGAACGCACTTTTTTGTAATTAATATCAAGCTTTCACAAGGTCATATTTGTTTTCGATACTGATGGTAATATGTATCATTACTCTACTTTGGTAAATATTGATCATTTGACAGTTAAAAAGTGCTTTTAAATCGGAATTTACACCGCGTAAAATCGAACCGTACGCGCATCACCTCAGCGCATGTTGTTTACAACGTTGGGTACCAAACGGGGAAAATTAGTGTGTATATTACCCGTCTGGCTCGGTTATATCAATTTCTTTCGGTTGATCAATATCCAATCAAAAAGGCGGAAAAAATCTGGAAGGATAATAAAAATTTCTTTTGCTGACAAAATCAACCGTGTTTATAATCAGATATAATTACAAAATAATCAGATATAATTACAACCAAGAGCTAAATCATGTAATATAATTAATATCGCATGCACTTTCTACATTTCTAATTAAAGTTTTTCCCTGGTAAATTAATTTCGAAATCCGAAATTATCGAAAGCATCTTGTAAAAGATAAATATCGTATGAATATGCAAAGTTTTTTTTTTTAAATAAAATATCCGATGATATCACATTTTACAAGTTCAGATTTATTTCTTTATGATTGCTTTTTTGTCTCTTCATTGAATAGGCAATATCATAAATTCGCCGTCATTGCTTTTGATAACGATATTTAATATGGATTTATGAGCAAAAATCTATCCAACATGCGTGAAATTTTATCCTGTGGAATCTGATATATTGTACCAGGAGCATTGATTTTCAATTTACAAGATTAGCTCTGTTTAGATTTTAATTTGATGCTTTTAAAAACAGCGGGTGGTGATAAGTGACATATCAATGAAGAAAACCTTTCGTATTTAAGGTATTCATCTAATTTGAGTACAGTTTTAAACAAGTAAAAAAGCAACAAAAAGTCATTTGAAGATGAGTGCACTTTGACGTACAGGGGTACTTTGAAAGGGTATAGAACTATAATGTATATCTAATGAAATGTTTTTTTTTAAGATTTAATAATCCATAATCTTATGGTCGATTCTTAATAGAGATAAAACAAATAATGTTTCTGTTCTTTTTAAAACATACATGAATACTCTACTTAGACATATTAAAATGCTTATTTTATTAACATTGATGTTCTATAGACGGAACTTGGTATCATTTTTTTCTAACACGTTGCTTTTATAAAAGCAATATTTTACTTTTATTGATATAGCGGTATTTATTGAGGCAATAATACTTTTATAATGATAGTACGTAGAATAATTAACAAAGATAAATGAGAAAATATAGAAAACGCATTAAACACGTAATACGCCAATTCAATGATACTTTTTTGTAGTTAAAATTTACTGAATAGTTTTATTGATATTGCCGTTAGTGGGTCTCTATGGTACTGTTGCTATTGTATGTCTTTGATAAATTCAAATTTTCAAAGTTCTATTGATATACCGATAATTTTTGATGCAATTATCATTACCAAATGAAAGTACGTAGAAGTATAAAAAGAGTAGGGATGGAATAAAATTATAACTTTAGAAATACAGGGATAACTATTTATAAAGTTAACAATTGTTTTTCGATCTGTACATTGAATGTAAAAGTGAAAGTGCCAGTTAAGGAAAATA